AAAACCCCACCTGGTATAAAAGCGATAATTGTGAAAAATGTTAAAAAAATATATACAATAACTTAAATCTGATAAATAAAATAAAATTGAACAATTTATCATCAAAATACTCCTTCCTATTTAATAAATCAAACATCGTTAATTTCATCAATGTTGTATGAAGCATGTCTATTAGAATTTATTGGATTTTTAAATTCCTTCATTGCAATCTATAGCTTATTAATTTTGTACTTGTAAATCAGCATCCCAATTATCTTGATAACTTAGTAAACTAACAAGCTAAAAGCAATAAAATTCAAGAAATCAGTCATCCCATTTCTGTTGAAAAATGTCATTAAATAGCCTGAAAAGATATTGCACACAAGCCAAATGAAAAATATGAACAATCTTGATCTCTTATACTACTTTTTCCTTTCTTGCTATGTCTTTATTTATTTATTTTCCAAAGTAATATTCTTTTAATATTTCTACAAGTCCTTATCTTTGCTTGCACTCCTATTACCCCAAGTTACATCATGAAGATTTGCATATGAGTAAAATTAGAAAACAATCATGTAAAGTGGAATCATCGAAATATAAACTAAAATAGAACCAAAATACAAAGTGATATTTTTGCAACATCTAATCCTATCGAATAGAATCGGGGGTAAGAAAAAAGTAGCAGCAAATATAAGCATTAGCAGAGCGCTTAAAAAGGATGAGAAAAACTCTTTAAATGCAAATATAATCACAAAAATATAAATGCATCCTAGTATGATAGTAGTCAGTTTAAGTAGAATAGATATATATTTTTCATCAATATTTTTACCCATTCCGAAGGAAGTTATTATCAAGAAAATAAAGATCAATATTATCAGATTCTCTATGAAGTTTGGAATCATAAACGGATTTATTTAGTCAGAAGAAGTAAACATAAATCTTAAGAATGATGACACTGAGCCATAAAATAATCCTGGAGCTATAAATCCAGTGAAGTTTGAGATCATCATCAGCAAGAAATTTATTTGATAAAAAATTTTCTGGTTTAGACTGTGTGAAGAACTAGCAAATTTTCCACAATTTCCAAAAATATGAAGAAATGTTGCATTAGCTCCATTTATCCATCTTCTTCTTTGAGCCATTAACTTCCAAAACAAGTCAGGAGGGTCAGTTAGCGCAACTGCTCCAGGTAGATAGATCAGATCGTAATTTGCTTGCTTCATGTCGTTTTCGATGATATTTTGAGAGACAATCTCAAAGCACATAATTCTATCTTCGGCTAAGAACATGTTTAGCTCTCTCAATCCTAAATGAGATTTATCTAACCCTTTGAAAAACTATTCTAATGGTTTTTATTTTATCGCTACCCATCTAAATATGGAAAATGCTCCAGGTAAGACGCTTTAGTATCCAAAGCATCCCTCGAAAGATTTATCAATGTAGTGTGATAATTTATACTCGTAAAACTAAGCAGCAGATAATATTGAGAATTTAGGCATTTCAACCTCTATTTCTCCACAAGCACCACCTATTGATTGTTTGAAATCAAGTAGCTTAACTAGTTTACTGATTGAGCCAGGCAAAGCTTATGTCCCAATATCCAGTAAAAGAACTTAATCTGGGTTAAGATATTCACAAAATCCTCTATAAAAGTACAAATGTGAATCGATCTTTTGATTATTAAAATGCTTTACTGCAAATATAAAGTTGACCTGATTCTTTACAAACCCTCCTAAACTTTAGTCAATTTGAAAGTCAAACACGTCAAGAGAAATTTACGATTGGAAACAGTGAATGATATTCATTATAGGATTATTTTGATCATACATTTAATCTTCTGTCTCTAGTTTAATGTTGATATTCTCTTTGATCTCAAATAAGTTCATTAATTCCTCTCTCTTCACTGAATGCTCTAATCTCTTGAGAAAAGGAGTGATCACTGACTCATCAAATATTCCTAATCTTGTAGCCTCTTCTTTAAAGTCCTTCTTAAGATTCTTATATCCATCAGCTATTAGAACAATCAAAATCTTGTCTTTGAATTAATCCCATGAAATTTAATTTCCTATTTTCATTTGATCAAGATAAATGTCAATTATAGCCTGAAAAACTCCTAATACTGTCTTTTTAAATAGTGACCAGCCTTCATTATACATAGTAATTCCTATAGCTAACTTAATTCCATTTGGATTGTTTTATTTTAATTAGTGAAGCAAGCTCTTTTTCCATATATTACAGATTCCTTTTTCCCCTCCTATTCCTACTAACTTGAGATCATATGTTTTATTAGACGAGTCCAGTTTACTTTGAGCGAAATTGAATAGCTTAAGAGTTTGATATGTCAATTGAGTGGATTGGTTTAATTTTCTTTTGGTATAATGATGCTTTATTTCTTTACTAAGAGTCTTGTTTTTATTTGTATCCATGTAAAGCTCTTTATTAAGGGTCTCGTCAAATTTAGGATCCCTCGCAAGTGAATCATCGAATCTCAAATTTTTGTTGGTTGAATTCATTTTAAATTTAAACATTTAACTTTTAAAAGATCTCATAAATCATCTCTTGGGGTTTTGGGGTTTTGGGGTTTTGGGG